TAAGACAAAGAATTTATATAGATTGTGTACTTTCAGAAAAGCTCCTAACATAGACTGACGTGATAGGTTCACATTATGAGACATCAGACTTCTAGGACGAAACATATGTCCGAGCCTCTGTGGTTTTTTCTTGGTTTTTAGCTTGTGATAAAAACTTCTAAATAAACAACGTACAATTTTGATTTCTCTTTAAATAGTACTTAATATTATATTGTCTAATTCTCAAGACAAACCGTGATCGACTAAGTTAATCTACAATATAATCTTCAAATCAAATTACTCTAGTGCATTTCACTATTTTAGTATTAAGAAACATAATACCCTCTGTCTATGATATTCAAGTATAAATTTTTAAAAATAATGAATTAAACAGTGATTTTTGACAAAAAAAGAGAGAATACACAACTGTAAATTATCCATTTGATTAAACTCAACATGACAATTTTCGAATAAATGTACTTTGACTAGTGGTAGATCCCAAGATGTGGGTTCCTCCCTATGTAGGACTAGTAAACTGTATGTACCTGAAACACACTTTAATGTGACCTTGAATGATAGTTTCTAGTGCTAAAAAATAAATGTCTCAAAGAGTTAGAGAATGGAGAGTTCTAAAATGAATGAATGAATTAAATTTTTACACCACGCGCTAAATATCAAATTCATTTGGTGTTGTTTGTGTGTATCTTCCGGTTGTTGTTTCGGACTACAACTGATCAGTCTCTTATTGGTATATGCACATTCTGTGCGGATTGTCTCGAGATTGCCTTAAGTCACAAGCTTTATAAACAAAGATGAATAATAGCTGGTGTTTTCTCCCTATTTGAGACTTGTCAGCTAGATGTACCTACATCTAAGGGTTGATGTTCACTTTGGGACGTTACTGAGTTCGAGTCCAAGAGTGAACATCAACACTAGGATACAGGTATATCCAACTGACGAGTCCCGAATAGGATGAAATTTGAGTCCTAGATTCCACTGCTAGTCACTATCCATCTTCGCACTAAATATTATTTCAAAAAATCAATGAAGAAGAATTATTCAACATCTCATTTATTTTAAATTATGATTTATATATTTTATGAATAATGTAGATGTCTACTTTTTATTTTACTACTGAAAATGTCTCTTTCAAAACAATGTTTAAAATATCTACATTTAAATAGAAACAAACTTTTCAGTTATTAACAAATGCTGATTAACGGATTGTATAATATGAAATTCTGTTAATAAACCATATCCATTTGAGTTTGTTTTTGCCTTGGATACTCATCTTTCATTAATTTTCTTTACATATATCTACAAATACTTAATTTATCCCGGATTACTTGACAATTCAATTTAGTTCATCGGTTAAAATAAAACTGACTAGTATTTCTTGTGCCTTTTTCCATAGACTTAGTTCAGCTTACTTATCTATATCAGATAATCCTTCGATTATTGGGTAAATATATAGTTTAAGTCAACTAATTTTTACTTTATTAAAGCATACTGTTTATTCTTAGAAAATATTTGAACTGATTTAATCCGTTTAACGAAATACATATTCAGTTAATTCATTTTAATTATATATATATATATATATATATATATATATATATATATATATATATATATATATATATATATATATATAAATTATAAAGTTTATTTTCTGTGATAATCAAAGTACTTTTATGATCAAAAAACAAAATTGAGCCGATTAAATTATAAGAATCACTCCCCCATACACACACACACACCCATCTTCCCCGTTGTACAGATTGCCTAGTGATATGATGAACTGTTTCAGTAATAAAAGAACAAAATCTTTTTTTTTTTAAAAAAACAATGATTTTTACTATGATTTTTTAATATTTCTAACAATGTGAAATAGTAATATTTATCATTTATTTTTATATACTATTTTTATCATCATCTCCGGAAGATACACTTTCACATTGTTGTATTTTGTGTACTTTCTCAAAATTGTATTTAATGTTATAATCTATTACATTGAATGAACAATTCAATTCTGTTAATAATACTAACGAATTGTTCAAAGGATCATGGATTACTTATGAATGAAATGTATGATTTATTGTAAGCAAAGATGGATAGTAGCTAGCAACGGAATCCAGAACATACGTTTCGTCCTATTTGAGACTCTTCAACTAGGTGTACCTGGATCTCACAGTTGATGTTCACTCTGACATTCGAACAGACTGATCAATTGCAGTGCTGAATATCAGTGAGAAGATTCAAGTGAACAATACCATAATTTAATGGTTGATAAAAAGTTCACTTTCAAAAGAATAATAAGATAATGGAGTTGACCTGAAAAAATCTGATCTATTCCTACTAATAAATTTCAAAGAATCTATTTATGTACATATACCTGTCAAAGTATTTACATATGAAAAACAGTGAAAGTCATTTAAACAAAAGGTCAAATGTATATCAGTAACAGTCAGTCCTCTTTATGGATTTAAACAAAGCGGGAATAATATCATTTGTAGAATATAATTAGTTGATTGTATATCGTAAATTTCTCTTCAATTACATATCAGCTAATCTATTTGACTATAGTAAATCATTAACATAATTTAGATTTCAGAAAAATGAATTGTTCATCAATAACAAATAAGTTGTCTGAAATATAAATAAAGATAAGAACTAAACCTTTAATAAAGTTTTTTATAAACCCTTGAAGAGGTAGTTATTGATGGAAACTTCTTTTTTTTCTTCGAATTCCAATTTATGTTAATGATTCTTAATAAGTAAATTTATTAGCTTGTATGTAGGTGGAGAGAAAGTTATGAATAACAATAAACTCATTGTATTCTGTCAATTTTATTGCTCTCACAGTATTTAAATACTAAATGATAACTGAAAATATAAGAGACGGATAGATTTATGCTTACTAATAACAATTTAAGCAGCATACCTGTTGAACAAGTTAATTGATATATGGACTCAATAGATCAGTGAATATCATGTTGATGTTTGGAGCGAAAGATTTTGAGTTCAAGTCTCATTAAGAACATCAGCACTAGAATATAGATGAACTGAGCCGACTAGTTTGAGTAGGACTGAACGCGCATTCCACTGCTAGCCACAATGCATCTATTCTAAGTCAAGCTAAGCCCTTAAGAACTCATATATATATCAAAATAGTTTGTTCAAAATCCAGTCCTGATTATCAACAAATGGATCATACAGACCGTTGGTTGTAATGTGTTGTTATCGTTTTAACTAGTCGATAAACCAGTATCATAGTATTGTTGGTTACTAAGCTTTATTGTTGTTGAAACTCTTACAGATTGTATAAAACGATATAGTTTGTGCACGAAAATCATAGGACGGTTGAATTTATAGCACACTAATTCATATTTGTATACATTTATTCCCAATTGATTGATCACTGGGTGGTGATCAATATCATGTGTGTCAAGTACAGATCGAATGCCATCGATCAAGTTGCAATGTGGTCACTAGTCTAGGTGACTCGACACTGCGGGCACTACATTGAGATTAGATGGTGGTTGGAGGTAGTCGACAGGAAACCCGGACCGGGTTTCCTGTCGACTACCTCCAACCACCATCTTATAAATTTATTGCTATTATATTTTTTAAATAAAATTTTTATCCTACCATTGTTTCATATGTGTTCAAGCATACCGTTAAATGTTGAATAGAAACATTTGTGATAAACAAGTCTAGTTTATACTGGTTTATTTGATGTGTTTTGTTTACTATATAATACAAAAGAAAGACCTACATCCTTAAACTGATCAGGGACTATTTAGGTGAATAAAAATTTATTTTCAAGTAAAATTTGATGAATCAGTTTTAACATGAATTAGTATAATTGATAAGCTATTCATTTAAGAAAACACAGATACACTTGGATTGTGAACTCCCACCTCGTTATATGCGAATAGCTTTTATCACAAAAAAGAATCTACTAAGGAAACCGGTGAAGATTACTAGAGAACTAGTTTGTGTTCAGTTGGAACTTTTGATCACTGTTTACTCATAAGTCTAGATAGAACTGGACCCAGATAAACTGAAGTTTCTCTGTGAACAGGGTATATGTTGATCATCGAATCTGGATTTATTAATTCGTATTTCAAAATTCAGTTCATGATGAAGATTTAAATTGAAATTAAGATATAGGTCTGGTGTTTTAGAAACGAAATACATATTGAATGACCAGAAAATTGATATTTCTATCATAGTGTGTCATTAAAGTTGGATAAACGGTATGTAATCAATTGAAGTTAGTCCAATTACTCAAAAGAATTATCACATTTTGAATGTAAGAATCTAGAAAAAATGACTTTCTAGATGAATTCTCTGAAATTCCAGTAAGAAACATTCACCAACAGAGTCAATTACTTTAGGAGTAAGATAGTTATCCATACATGATTTTCGACTAACTATCCGTTGTTTTGTGAACTGATCCAGGTTACATATGTGAAATATTGGATCTCGAATAGGTCTAACAAAATCTTATTGTTTTTTTAAAATCAAAGATATTATCGGTTCGATCTCGTGTGAGGTCATCGATGTTCAATCCTTAGATGCCTAAAATTGGTACATAACATCCGTCTAATACTCTAAGGTTATCAAAGGCTATTTTACTCTTTTATTGACAAACAAGTCTTTGCAAACTACCTAATCTTTGAGATTTATCTCATCTCCAAATATTATCATGGTTATGTATAGTACATCAATGAATATAGTAGACAGTTGGAATGTACTTTGGTTATCCTAAACTGTCACATAATTCATCCTCTTTCCTTTCTTTCTACTTCTAATTCACATATACACACATCCGTTATCCAGAAACGTTTACACATTTAGATAAAAATTGTAATATCATAGTGTTTACAAGATAAGAATTTGAAAATATTTTGTGAATAAGCAAATAAATTCTCTCCTAATCTAAACTACTGAAAACCAAAAACAAAAAATTACACATACATATGTACAGCAATACTAAAGTCAGAATAACTTACCGAAATTAGCTACATTGTACTCTATAGTTAGTGTTAAGCAATTTCTAATAGACTGTATTAATTTCATTGCTTCTTCACAAGTTAATTGTCCTGTGTGTATACTATTAATTGTGAGTATACGATCCCCAGGTTTTATTCGTCCATCACTGAATTGTAAGTACAAAAAAAGTGAAAATAAGTCCATTAGAAAGTGTAAATAATTAGATGAACAATAATTCCAGTTCCTAACTATTACACACACATACAACGTGGAATTTGCTTCATAGAGAATAATAAAAGACTTATAAATGTCATTGGATTGACTTGGCTGAGTTAAGAATTCTATGATTGTTATTCTAAACAACACCAGGAATAGCACCGATGTCAAATTAATGTGAGCACTTTTAATTCTGTTTCCTCTTTTTTTTTATAAAATCAGTTTTTATTCTGATGGTCTTTATAATATCATTCAGTTTGGGAATGACACCTTCCCCAACAAAACAATCTAGGTCAGAGAACGTAATATCATCCATAATAGCCATAAATCTTTCTCGTTTTTTTTTTAAAATTCATGGGAGAACGTTTAACTCCAACAGTTATTAACCTACTAGCTCTAGTGAGCATTTAAATAAAATGAAATGACTAACTGGTTTAACTTCTTGACTAACTACAATAAAAATGAGCATTGAATCAAAATATTCTTATTGGTTTGGAGAAAGTCGGAATACTCATCCTGAATAAGCTTGCTCGAAAAGTTACATGTTAGAAATAATTCATGATATTTTGTTAGAAGGCTAATATGGTTCAACCATTTTGAGAGTGAGATAGTGACTTACTGATAAAACAACTTAACAATCGCTAGATTTCGCAAATTGACTTAGGTTGAATATGTGATTCATTATATTCTGAATCAGTGACTTGATAGAATTCTCCTTGCCACGGGAACTGAAGATTCCATGTTTTGCCTATAGTAAACACTTCTGAGTACTTAGGTAAAATAGCTTTCTAGCATTCCTGCATCTTAATGGTTCTATAGTTTATTTCAGTCACTAATTTAATCTGACTTCTAATTGATCAACAATCATAAAGTTTAGAAAGCTTTCAAATATGTTAGGCTTTTAGGTATAAGAGTATTTTCATTTAATATAAAACTGATGATTAAAAGTTCACGATATACTGATGGACAGATTACACTATTAATTTATTCCATGGCAAATTATACTAGTGGGAATAAATTTTGCCACTTCTATATTTTAAATCATTCAAGAGTTTTTTTTCAATGTTCGATAATTTGATGACGTAATCCACCAAACGGAAGTTTTTTTGCCAGATAAGCTTTTATCTATAATATCGAACTTTTTAAATAGTATTCTTTTTGAATAATGTTATTTATATATCATCTGGTTTAGTGGATTGACCAATAAACCTTACAAATAGTTGACAATATTTATCTTTAGTCTCTAGGGAATAGAATTTGGATTCGAACCCATTTTCCTTAATTTCACAGCCAGAGAATTTATCATTGAAATATTCAAACCGTTATTATTTTCCTATAGAACAATACCGACTTGTAAATATAATACTCAGAATTAAACAATAATATGTCTGATCCTTGGTTCAGTCTAAAGAATGTAATCGTAATGAAGACTTTGATAATTCAATAGTTTGTTGGACTGGTCAGCTTTGAAATTATAATTCATGAATTTAACACAATCAGCAATGTGTTTATATGATGTGGTCAAAAATGCCATGTAAACTTCATCATAACATTATTCTATCCTTTGATACTGTTTTGAATACGTTGCTTCATGAAGAGCCTTAAACAAGAATGTCATCATTACGTATGACCGAGTATTTAACATGAAATAATTACACTTTTTCTCTTAACATAACTTTTAAGCACAATGAAACGTGATCGTACATAATAATGCACATAAATCTGGACAGTATGTTCTTTATCTTACCCTATTCAATTTCCAATTTCTTATTTAGAACAGGTTATATAAAAGAACAAACAGTGTAATATAGCTGACAAGGATCACTGTTTTTGATATATTTTCAGCTTCAGAGTTGATTTAGTTTGAATGATGACATATTTCCTATTCTGTCATGCTATTTTTTTCCACTTAAAACACTACTACTACTACTACCATTTAACTTGTCATATTAGTTTCTATCACTATTATCAATTGCGTAATTAACTGACCAGCGGATTTGCGTCTTTATTTCAATGATCCAACCAAATATCTATAAGTTTAATTACAGTTGAGAGTAAAACTTAGAATTTCGTTGGAAATAATATTGTTTATTGATATCTCTTGTCTTAATTTTCTCAATACACATCTTGAATATTGTTGTTATTTGTTCAACTGAAATTATATGTCAATTCTTATTAAAGGAAGCTAATGAATTTGTATTTTGATAGTATTTTATGGGAAAAAGTATATAATTTTGTTCAATTATCTGTAGGTTCATTAACATATACTATTTATGGTCTATGAATCCTTGAAATCATTCCAAAACGTAGACTTTTGATATGGTCAGCTAAAATGTAATGAATTGTACCATCTTTCACATTCTATAGTCATTTTGTTTTCTTGTTCCCCGACTAAGTAATCATCAAGTGTGGGTATTTTATCAGCATTACAATCAAGATATAAGGGTTTTAGGATTTTCGAAAGATCACTTTGTCCTATATACATATATAATTGTGAACCGATCAACCATTTTCAGTACTAAATATCTGCTTTCAGCTAAACGCCAAGTACAAAATTAAATCTAGGTTGATGAATAACGTATTGGTTAACTTGAACGACAATAAAACTAGAATGCTTAACGCACGATTTTCCAGTCTTTTCTCTTATCCGACTGATCATCTGAAAACTATACATGATGATTAGTGGTTATTCTAATATAACTATATAGCCTAGCTCATAATTTCAGTCATTTATAAACAGTTATGTTACATGCAAAAAGAAATAATGACTAACAACATTCTATTTCCTAAATTGATATACAACCGATACAGCATATTCTTCAACTACTTTTTTTCCATCAAAAAAAGATATTTTCACATAGTTTCTATTTGTACTCCATCTATGATCACTGATCATCAGGAATAGAAACAAATCCAATTAAATCATAAGAGCAAAAAGTAATTTGGTTTCGAAAAAATCAATGATTAATTCCATAAGATCGATTAAACACTTAACAACCAATAACTAAATGAGAAAGAGAAATATTTTAATTCAAATAACCTTACCGAAAATTATCGATTAAATATTTTAATTGTCAAGAATAAAATTTTCTAACAAAATACTTTAATACTTTTAGTGATGAGTTCAATTGAACAATGAATGTAAACATTAACATTAAGATGAATGTATGTTCACAGTTGACGAGTAACATACAGAATGAAATATGCTTCTTGAGTTTTACGCTTAAACTCTATCACACTCTAATAAAATATTGTAAGTAAATGATCATATCAAAGGAATTCTATTGAAAGATACGTATACAAATAAAAACTGATCAACTGTAAACCTTAACATCACTAATGAGAAAATGTAAACCATTTTAAGTTAAATGTAAGCCGATTGTATAGTCTAGTAGCTATCTAGTCTCATTGGATAATATAATGACGTTTGAGACAAAATAATATCAAATTTGATTCTCAAGGTGACCATTTAATACTTCGATGCAGGTTAACCAATTGACGAGTTCCTAATAAGAAGAAACACACTTTCTAGATTCTACTCCTAACCACAATCTAACTTTTATAGTATATTCCGTGTCATAGCACTTAATCGTTTATCATTTAAGGTAGTTTATAGATCATGTCATTTTTATATCATCTTGTTAATTCTTAGTTGATAGATAATAATAATTCAAACAACTTCTTTGTTATTATTGTCTCTGCTGTTGTTAATTAGTTTCATAATAGACATAGTTAAAAGAAAGTTTTGCTATTAGAATTAATAATTTAAAAAATCTTATCGAATATTATAAAGAAAAGAATAATTAATTGAACAGAAGTTTTTCAGTAATTTTTTCTTCAGACCATACAGGTATAGTCAAGATGAATATGAAAGACGAAGAGTTAAAAGTTTATGAAGTTCATTCACAAGATCAACTGTAAAAAATGAATCGACCTTATTATGAACAAACAGAAAGGATGAATAAACCTTTATTTTCATATATAAATCTTGTTTCTTAAATTTGGTGCTGATTTCTCCTATCGACTTGACAAGTTACAATCTCCTAACTTTTGGAAAATCACGTATGACTTGAAAAATAAGTGAATAGACATTATCTATCTTGATAGTAAACTTACCTTTTATCAAATGAAAAAGAATGCAAGACTATGTAATTCCGTGGTAAGATAACTTGAGAATATTCAGTCGAAATATGATGACCCAGACATCTTTTATCTTAAAATTACTGTAATATCATCAAGAAAACCCTAGATTCCATACATTAAATAGGAACATTTAATCGGTTGCTAAATTTGCGAATTTCTAATTGAAAAAGTAGTATTTGCTATTACATAGTATAAAAAGGTTTATGTCATTCAAATTACTGTTTAAAAAAGCCTAGTGACAAATTCTTATACAACCATACATTTGCAAACCTTAAATAACTAAGTGTATTAATCTAGAAAGTAGAATTGTAATGTTCGACACTTAAAGTATAGATATTGAACTCGAATCGCTTCTTTTTCATAAAGAAGATACTTCATTAAGAAAAACATTACTTGACAATCTATTCCATTAAGCTCAAATGAACTACAAATCTTTTAATTCATTTTGCAATGTCTGTTTGAATCTTCCCATTGTTATTTAGAACTGTAATTGATCAGTCTCATGTTGGCATATGTGCATCCTGTGCAGATTACCTCGATATTGCCTTAAGTCACGAGCTTTATAAACCAAATAGATGATGGTTAACAATAGAATCCAGAACGCGCGTTTCGTTCTATTTGAGACTAGTCAGCTAAATGTGCGTGTATTCCGGAGTTGATGTTCACTCCGGGAATCAAAGTGATATCAAAGCAATTCACGAAATATGCACGTATACCGATAAGAAACTGATCAATTTCAGTCTAAAACATCGGTGGGGAGATCGAAACAAACAACGCATAATCGATTTACACTTCACTTCATTGCACAAGCTAGTAGCTATTAGGAATCAATAGCTCAATGGATAACACGATAGTGTCTGAAGCGAACGGTGTCAGGTTGCAAGTACATCCGTCTGACGACTCACAAATAGGAAGAAACGCGCGTCCTGGATTTTACTGCTAGCAACCATCCATATTTGCTTTACAAACCTTTTAATATTTTCTATCTTATTACTTCAAAAACACAAATATAGAAAATAGGAAACAGTTTATGTCAATAAATTTACTGTTATAGCGCATTATAATTAACCATATATCATTACAGTTGAATAGTGAATAATTATTCACCTTTTTCTATTAAATAACAAAGAAATAATCTTTCATTTTGATAAATTTTTGTTTATAATTCTCTTTATTGC